GTATCAACTGTTTTTACATGCTTGAAAGAATAAATCAAATCAAATCAAATCCAGTCTAAATGACTGTGGACCTTTACTGCCACCTAGTGTTGAACTGAAAGTAATGTTGAATGTTGCTTTCTTGGATACTAGACAAGTCAAGATATTTATTTGCCATGTATGCATAAACAGACAGTCTAGGCATATAGGAATTCTTGTGCAGTTCTCCTTTGGAGTCAAGTAAGAAAGAACACTTAGTCTTAAAATAAAAATAAAATTACATAAAGGCAACAAAGCATTAAAACCACAGCACACAAAAGATTATGATAAAAGTAGCGTCATAAGGACGTTACTTTTTTACATGGCACAAATACTGAATAATACTGTGACTGAATAACCAAGGACAAGCAGCAAACACCATGTTGAGTCATGTAATTATATGGTTTCATTTTGTAAAAATACATTTTTCTTCCTCACAATTACTGTGGTAACATGCATAAAACTGTTGTACAGCTTTTTTTCTACTTCCTGATGGGATTCTCCCATTCTATTAGGAAAAAAAAGAGCTTTTTGGAAATAGAAAGTGTGAAGCAACAGATGAGCAGTGCAGTTAATTTAAAAGCTGCTATTCCTTAATGGATTGTTGGTGTTTTTAGCCGTTTGTCTCCAGGTTTATACCACTCTGTTGATTATAGAGCCTGCCTGGTCTATCTGGCACTCCACCACATCGCCTTTCTGAAATAAAAACAGTTAAACACTCCATTAAAACATAGCTTTACTCTTTTTTGAATTGCATCAATCCCAACTGTGTAAACACTGTGTACCATGTGATGTACAACCATAAGGTTATTTTGAATACATTAAAAGTGAAGGAAGTTGTGATTTTTATCAGCTTTGTGCATGAAGTCACCTTGAGGAAGATGGGAAGGCGTTCTGAACACACCCACACCTGGAGGAGTGCCTGTCAAGAACACGTCTCCTGGAGTTAAAGTCACAAACCTGACAGGAGAAAGACAACAGAATGAAAACATGAGCAGCAGCAAAGAGCACGTTGCTGAGTGGAGACACCCTACGCTGGAAATTCATTTCAATTATGCATGTGCAAAATGAGCATGTACATGGCACAGATGTAACCATGAGTTAGATCCTGAGTCAGCTGTTTAGGAGTCTGATGGAAGTTGGAATGAAAGAGTTTTTCAGTCTAGTGGTCCTGCATTTCACGCTTCCGAACCTCCGACCGGAGAGCAGTGGTGTAAACAGTCCATGCTGGGGGTGGGTGGGATCTTTGAGGATGGAGGCAGCTTTCCTACGCACCCTGCGGTGGTAAATGCTCTGCAGAGAGGGCAGTGGAGTCCTGGTGATCTTCTCCAGTCTTTACCACTCTCTGCAGGCGCTTGCGGTCCATAGCAGTAGTGCTGCCATACCAGACAGTGATGCAGCTGTAGAAGTTGCAAAGGATCCTAGGCGACATGCCAAACCTCCTCAGTGACAAGTTAAAACCAGCTTAGTAAACGGGCAGTAACAAATCTAAGGCACTGTGTGTTATGTGTCCAAGTGAGGTCCTTACTGGGTGGCTGTGGCTCCCGAGGGAGGGCAGTCGTCTCCTGACCAGCAAGTTGGTGGTTTGACTCCCGATCTCCCCGCATGCCTAAGTGTCCCTGAACAAGACATTGCTCCCGGTGGTCCCATTGTGTGGCAGCCTGTCATCATTGGTGTGTGAATGGTGTATTGTCTACTGTAAAGCGCTTTGGCCAGTGCAACACTGTGGAAAAATGTGCTATATAAATACAGTCCATTTTACTGATGTGGACACTCAGGTATTTGAAGCTGCTCACCTTCTCCACTTTGAGCCCCCGGAAGAACAGTGGCTGATGAGATCTCTCCTTCCTCATGTCCACTATCATCTCCTTCATCTTGTCCGTGTTGAGGCTGAGATTATTGTCCTTGCACCATGACACCAGACTGACCACCTCCCTCCTGTAGGCTGCTTCGTCCCCGCCAGTGATGCGACCAATCACTGCGGTGTCGTCCGCGAACTTAAGGATGATGTTGTCTTTGTGGGAGGTGACACAGTCATGGGTGAACAGGGTGTAGAGGATGGGACTGAGGACACATCCCTGTAAGGTTCGAATCCAGTGCTGGAAAATATGAAACTCGGCATCTTTTCTGTGAAGATATTGTGGAGTATAAAATACAATTCCCTGTCCTGTTTAAGACATTTTGACAGTAAAAACCGATTTTTGCAAAATCATGCCAGAAGCTTTATTTTGCACTATACTTTTAATAGGTTAACATAAAAGACAAGACGCCACTTTACTCAGAATAGATTTATTCAATAAATATAAAACAATGTCAGATCTTATTTGTACATGATACATATAAAATATGACATGAAAAGCAAATAATCAGATAAATTTTATCTGTTTGAGATAATATCTACTAATAATATTTCTCTTGAAATATAAACAAGTGTCCAATGTATTAGTTTATAACATTTAAAAACAAAAACTGTTACCATGGTGCAAAGCAACAAAGGTTGCTGAAGGTATGGTATGAAAAGGAAATTATAGAAGCAAGTGAAAATGTAACAGTAAGGACCCGGTTTATGTGCATAAAGAATACAATGTTTAGAGCAGTATTTACAATACGTCCTAACTCAACGCAGTAGTGTGACTCAAGATTCATCTCCTTTATAAATGCAGGAACCGATGCTTGGAAATGTTACTGCATGTGTGTATTAAAAAAAAAAAAGAAAGAGAAAAAAAAAAAGTAGTAACAGGAGATGTTAGCTGAGCTTCAAGAACATGGAAAACTGGCAGGGTATGACAAGACATTGAACCAGCAGGTAACTGAACGAAGGGAGAATATAAAGGCTGGAGACCCGGGGATAATGAGCAACAGGTGGAAACAATAAGCGTTGATTATGAACTGGATCCAAACTGAGGCAGGTGAAAATGGCACATAACAGGAAATTCTACAAAATAAAAGCACAAAACAGGAAGCAAGTCCAGAAACCATAACATGGAAATTCAGTATCTTGCCCAAGGACACTTCGACATGTGGACTGTAGGCACCAAGATTCGAACCTTTAACTTTCCGGTTAGGAGCCGACTGCTCTACTCACCGCACCACCATCGCCTCCCCAACCAGGAATTGGTTGTTACTCAAGTTCATTTGCATGTGAAGGCAAACGAGAGAATACTTTTGGCAATATAGTGTATATAATCAATTAACATGTTGATATAAGTGAAAATGGGTTTTTATCATAACATGATCTTAACCTGTCCCAGGTTCAGGCGGGAGAGGGAATTATTTAAAAATACTGTTCTAAGAGGTGGAATGAACTGACAAAGGTCAGTGGATATAGGATATAGAGTACTTATTAGGTTATTAGAGATTAGGTGTGGTGGTAGGTAGGGTTCGTTCTGATCCACACTCCAGTCTGGAAGGTGGCGGTAATGCACCTAAAGCTGTTTGCCAACCGCCATAAAGACCAGCTGAAGAAGAAGAACATGCTCGGTTCTTCGTGCCGCGTCGTGCCGTACCGGGCCGTGCTATGGATGGGAGGGGGAGTTGTTTGGGGATGGTGGGCTGGGGTATCGCGTCTCTCGGCTCAAATCCTCTCGGTATCTTGCTAGCCTACCGTCGTGTGCAAGCGATCAGCCTGGATTGTTTAAAAGAGGAGTGAAAAATAAGTATTGTCACCGTGTTAGCTGTTTCTGTTGGTAAATATAGTCATTCATATCATCCGTTGAGTTCGCTGCTTTGACATGTTTTCTCAGAATTCGTTGGTAAACATAAGGCCTTTCACTTTGCAGAGCTGTCAGATTCTGCAGGTAAATGTGTGGGGTTACTGTGTAAAGGTAGCCGTAACAATACTACACATAGCGAAGTTATGTTTGAGGTGTATATGTCCTCTATAGTTGCCTTCGTATTGATGTGTTTAAGCGGATTTTAGCTACAACAATTGTCATCTGAGTTACTACAGTTTAGTTATTAATGTCATGTTTAAATTTGCAGACATCCCCTTGAAGAGCGTGAGTGGCTATGGCTGAACAAGACATTTGTCCCCACCTGGACTCTGTAGGAGAGGTAACCACAGAGGACCTGCTCCATAAATCCAAGGTGGGTTTTCACTTATTTACTGTAAATGTTCTGTACAATGTCAAAGATGTCCAGTGTAGGTCACTGGCAGTGTGTGCCATGGCCCACACATCCCTAAAGGTTGTCCTATGATTCTTGTTGTAGCTGTAATAATACCCACATGAGCTAGAATACATGGAAACTCTTTATGCACAGTGTAAAGCATCCCAGCTTGTGAGAGTGTACACATATATTGTTCCTCTTGCTGCAGGGAACTTGCCAGTCATGTGGTGCAGGAGGTCCAAACCTGTGGGCCTGTCTACAGGTAGGATCAGAGTTTGAATCTTTTTTTTTAATGTTTAGATTTTTTTGTCTTTCCAAAGATAATTGCTGGTGTAGCTTGTGCACGTTGTCACAAAAACGATGACTACTGTAAGTGCAGCCACTGCTCAGCTACTAATCGTAAATCATTTGAGAGAAGCTGGCTGGGTGAATACTTAATAATTAACGATGACTTGAGACGTAAATATAATTATACATGCATCAGCTCTCAAACTCAGCCCAGCAAGTACCCAGTATGTGCAAATACAGCCATGAAATTATATTCTGATTGATGTTTGACATTTTAGTATTGCATTTATTTATAGATTAGGTCAGTTCTGGTAAATATGGTGACATTATGTCGATGTCCTGCTTTGTAGAATGAGTGTCCATATGTTGGTTGTGGAGAGTCCTTCTCTGATCACAGCACCCTGCATGCACAGGTAAAACACTGAAATACCCTCCAGCATTTGTTCTTCTTGTCAAACAGTGATTATTTTAAAACAGAGTCCCTTGAATGACTGTGTGTGTGTTTCTTTTAGGCTAAGAAGCACAATTTGACTGTGAACCTGACGACATTCAGGGTCTGGTGTTATGTATGTGAGCGGGAGGTGTTTCTGGAACACAGGCCTGCCTTGGTGCCTGTACCTGCTGCTCCCCACCACTGCAAAGCCACAGAGCAGGTCTGACTTTGCTTCAGGAAAATCAGCTCACCTCGTTACTTTCTGGCTCTTCCTGCTTGGTGGATTTAAATAGAAAAATCTGCAAGTGCTAGTGATGCTATTTCAGATTCACATAACCTGTTTTTTGCTCACCTCCTGTAGTGTCTATTAATTATTTTTGTAGGAAGCAGCTCCCCAGCCAGCAGGACACCCACTGAAAGCAGTACCAATTGCTGTGGCAGAAGAAGAAGGTTCAGAGTCAGAGGAGGATGAGCTTAAACCCAGAGGTACACCAAGTTTATTTCACAGCTTCTTTTCATCCAGGCTAGGAGCAATAATTAATTCTATCTGGTGTCCTCTCAAGACTAAAAAATATGAGGTTACCTACTTAACTTGCTTTAGGAATATGGAAAGCCAAACACCTCTTGTTTCTCCTGTTGTTTGCAGGCTTGACAGGAATGAAAAATATTGGAAACTCCTGCTACATGAATGCAGCTCTTCAAGCTTTGTCTAACTGGTGAGGCTGCTTCCTCTTTACATTTGACCAGTTACTGGGATGTGTCTTCATTCTGTATGTTTATGAAAGCATCTTCTTTAAAATAGTTAGAGTTTTGTTGTGTTGATGGAATATTTTCTCCTCTCTATCCTCACCAGTCCTCCTCTCACTCAGTTCTTCCTGGACTGCAGTGGATTGGTCCGGACTGACAAGAAGCCTGCTCTCTGTAAAAGCTACCAGAAACTCATCTCAGAACTCTGGCATAAAAAACGGTAATAAGCACATAAATGTGACATAAAATAGCTTGAGGCAACCTTTTAAATGGCAGAACTACTATATAAATATTGAGTTTGTATAAGACTTACACTACTATCTGCTAATCAGTCATTTTCATATTGATTTCTCTTAATGCCTCTCATGGCTGTCACCTTCTCAGACTGAGCTATGTCATCCCTACCAGTCTGTCTCATGGCATCAAACTAGTAAACCCTATGTTTCGTGGTTACGCTCAGCAGGTAGGGGCAAGTACTCAGCAGGTAACTACACCTGGCATCACTCAACAGCTTGATGTGGTCATGTCTTTGAAGCCCTGTGCATTTTTATCACACATTCCCCAAATTGCATTTATGTTGTTTTGCTATATTTGCTCTTAACAACCAAACGTTTGACTCAGATTTTTTACTTGTGTGGTGTAATGTATATTTTAGTTGTACCAGAATATGAATCATTTCCTGACCTCCCCAGTCTGATGTCTGTTTGTTCAAAGCTATGAAGAAGAATTCCAGCAGAGGAACAATATAATCTAATTTCTTCTGTAATCATTACAATAACAACTTCATAATCGCTTAAATTACAATGTGGACTTATTTTAGTCCAGCCAGCCCCCTCAGAGAGGTTTAGTAGTGTATTTATTAAAAGAAGAGACTTTTTGGGAAGCAGTTATCTTAGCTTAGCATAAGGAATGGAAGCAGGGGAAAATATTCAGCCACAACTTGTCACTTTTACACTCAAATTTTTGTACACATTAAACAAACAAGATATACAGTGCTGTGAAAAAGTATTTGCCCCCTTACTGATTTCTTATCTTTTTGCATGTTTGTCACACTGTAATGTTTCAGATCATCAAACAAATTTAAATATTAGTCAACGATAACACAAGTAAACACATCATGCAGTTTTTAAATGAAGGTTTTTATTATTAAGGGAAAACAAAATCCAAAACTACAAAGCCCTGTGTGAATAAGTGTTTCCCCCCCCTGTCAAAACATAACTTAACTCTGGTTTATCGCCCCTCAGTTCAATTTCTCTAGCCACACCCATGCCCGATTACTGCCACACCTGTTCGCAATCAAGAAATCACTTAAATAGGACCTGCCTGACAAAGTGAGATAATGGCTCTCACTGTGGTTCGCTGCCGTCCCAAAGCTTTAGAAATGGCTTTATAACCTTTTCCGGACTGATAGAGCTCCATTATTCTCTTTCTCATTTGTTTTTGAATTTCTTTGGATCTCGGCATGATGTCTAGCTTTTGAGGATCTTTTGGTCTACTTCACTTTGTCAGGCAGGTCCTATTTAAGTGATTTCTTGATTGCGAACAGGTGTGGCAGTAATCAGGCCTGGGTGTGGCTAGAGAAATTGAACTCAGGTGCAATAAACCAGAGTTAAGTTATGTTTTGACAGGGGGGCGAACATTTCTTCACACAGGGCTATGTAGTTTTGGATTTTGTTTTCCCTTAATAATAAAAACCTTCATTTAAAAACTGCATGATGTGTTTACTTGTGTTATCTTTGACTAATATTTAAATTTGTTTGATGATCTGAAACATTACAGTGTGACAAACATGCAAAAAGATAAGAAATCAGTAAGGGGGCAAATACTTTTTCACACCACTGTAAATTGTTAAGTTGTGAGCTTTAGAGATGCTGGTAGGTGGATTTTGTTACACTTTGATTGAGCCAGGAGAACAGTTTCCTCCTGTTTGTTGTCATTTATCTATTACCCATTTAAACATATCCCATTTTTCAGCAAAACTCCTGTTTCTGTGTATGTGGCCATGCTCATGCATCCTCCTTTTGACTTAATGTAATGTGCTTTCCTGGACAGGACACTCAGGAGTTCCTGCGCTGTCTGATGGACCAGTTACATGAAGAGCTGAAGGAGCCTTTGACAGAGTGCAGCATGAGCGGGGAGGGAAGTGACAGGGAGGAGAGAAGAGATGGAGACCACTCCCCGTCTGAGGATGAATTCCTATCCTGTGACTCTGGTTCTAGCAGTGATCGGGGCGAGGGAGGAGGTGCAGGTGACGGCGAGTTGCTTGTGCAAGATGCATGTGATGGTGTCAGGTCACCGGCAGTGGGGATGGTGGGCATCACTCCCGTTGGGGTGATCTCAGAGAAGGAGAGGCTGAAGCAAAGAAGGGTGTCTGGGTCACCTCTCCGTGGAGGGTCACAAGAGATGGATGAGGACGCTGATGTAGATACAGCAGCTGAGGAAGAGGTTCCTGAAAGGGGAGAGGAAGAGGAGTTAACACCAACTTCAAACACTGAGCTCCAAAACCCAGAGAACAATCAGGCAGCCAATACGGGGCAGAGACAAGGCCAGAGCAACAGCACTTCAGGTATAATACTAACAGGGTTACTGTTGGTTTCCTATCATTGGATAAGTTTTCCCTAAACTCTAAATTATGTGCATCAAATGCATTGTTTTCTAGAGCCAGACAACGAAGCATCAATGACCCAGCCCCAGTCCACTCCCTGTAGTCCTGTGCGAACCCTTCAGGAGCTGCATCCCAAACTATCCTCCGGTCCACCTCGCTCCAGCCCGCTTCGCTGTGTAGGATCTGTGTACCCATTCAAAAAAGGTGCGGCAACAGCTAGGGTTCAGAACATAAGGGTATGGGGGGGTTAAACTGCTGCTTTGGATTTGTACAGTCAACAATAATGTATGGGGGAGGGTGGTACAGCAGTGTGGTGGTTAGCACTGTCGCCTTACAGCAAGAAGGTTCTGGGTTCAAGCCCCGGCTGACGCATTGCCTTTCTGTGTGGAGTTTGCATGTTCTCCCTGTGCCTGTGTGGGTTCTGTCCGGGTGCTCCGGTTTCCTCCCACAGTCCAAAGACATATAGCTTAGGTTGATTGGCAACTCTAAAATTGGACATTTTCTTGAAGGGCATCCAGCATAAAACGTGCCAAGTTTAACATGCGAATCGTCAGTTGGGTGGCAACTGATGATTCGTTGTGGCGACCTCTAATGGATAATAATAATAATCACCTTTATTTGGCCAAGTATGTTACACACAAGGAATTCGTTTCCGGTACAGAACCAAGGCAGCCATCTGCGGCGCCAACTCACACCGATGACTCTAACCATCGGGGGCAACTTGGGCGTTCAGTGTCTTGCCCATGGACACTTTGACATGTGGACTGCAGGCACCGTGATTTAAACCTCCAACCCTCCGGCTGGGAGACAACTGCTCTACCCACTGAACCACAGTTGCCCCCAAATAGCTAAGCTGGCCCGTACGGGGAACAGCCGAGAGTAGAAGAAGAAGAAGTCAACTCTAATGTCATTAGATATTTGTTTACACAAAGAGCCTCTTTTTCACCTTCAGGGTCACACACTGCTGCACTGTGCTGCCTGGTTGGAAAAACACGAGAATGTTGTATTTTTTCACAAGCTGTGTTCTACTATTTGTGTGATCCTCTTGGAATTGTTTGTTGACTGTTTCCACTGCTGGTTTTGTTGGGATGCACAGTGAAGAGTGACAACTCCCACTTTAAGTCCCTGGATTGTCTAGCCTATCCACTGAATCGTCTATGTGGAGGACAGTTTTGGTAATGTTGTGGATGAACAATGAACACTGCTGAAATTAATGCTGTTAAGTGGTAATCTTGTCTAACCACAGCCTAATGCTATATTCTAAGCAGACAGTCTGTTGCTTGCTTGTTCCCCTGTCCACATGATTTAATTAAGGTTGTGGTGTTTTTATGTGCTTTTTAGTTAGGCCAACTCAAAGGGCTTTTTGGCTTTAACAATATTAAGTTTGCCCTTTAAAACCCTCCTTGTTATCATGTGTATTCCAGCTCAGCTGCTGCTCAGTACCAGGAAGAAGAAACAGTCTCATTATCGCAGTGTGATCTCTGACATCTTCGACGGCTCTATCCTCAGTCTGGTCCAGTGTTTAACCTGTGACAGGGTGAGCTGCGTTTCACAGTTTTAAACACCAGGGGAAGCTACATGCATATTCAGTCAGAAACCACCAGATATTACTTGATTAACCTTTTTTTGGATGGAAATTAAAAGAAAGTATGTCACTGGGTATTTCATTTCAGCATTAAGGAGTATTTTACATTATTTGAATGATTAAAACGTGAAAATCATGGTTTATCTCTTTATATTTGAAACTTTTTTAGATTTTATTATTTTGGCATATAATTTATATCTTTGACAATTGTGTATTATATTTTGAGAACACAGATGGTTAATAATTTATGAGTTCAAAACAACTCAGTTTAATTAGGTATATGTTGTCCTATGTAACAGATTACATTAAGTTCCTCTCTTTCTGATTGGGATATGCTATTTAAACCAGTTCTCTGAATGTCTGACAGGTCTCTACTACAGTGGAAACCTTCCAGGACTTGTCTCTCCCTATTCCCGGCAAAGAAGACTTGGCTAAGCTCCACTCCTCCATCCATCAAAACCTTCCAGTCAAGACAGGCGTGTGTCCCGACACTTATGGCTCACAGGGCTGGATCTCTTACATCATGGACTCTATACGCCGGTAGGTGGACCATGTTAAACCCTTTCAGTCGGGGAAGAAGTCGGCGTGTTTGAGCAGAAACACATTAATTCACTACAATCTAATTGCATGTTAGTATGCTGATGTCATTGATATGATATATTCACTTTCAATTGACTTTACTTTTAGATGTAAGTATGACTTAAAGAGTAAGGTTCTTACAGGTAAAGCAGGTAAGTGGAGTCTTGAGCTGTTTCAGTGTCATGCTCAATTAATTTCTTGTGAAAATCAGCCACAGTGGTGCCTCCAGGAAAAGTATTATATGGGAATTTGCACTGTATTTGGCTGTGGAAGCCACACATAGGTGAAGCAGCATGTTTTCAGTTTGTTAATCACAAGAAGCAGAATGTCAGAGCTTTGTGCACTCACATCAGTAAGACGTTTTATTTAGTTCAATCATTTGCAATAATCCCTCAGTTTTATGGTTGAGCCATTTTTATTTGTTGACCAACAATGTGTCTACAATGTGTTACTCAACTTATTACCAACAGGTGTGGCAAGAGGCAATGTGCAAGCAGAGGCGTCCCCAGACCCGCTTCTCTGAAAATCTCATAAGGCTCCTTATAAGATTCAATCCCTTAACCACCACTAACAAAACTATACTTACATTTCTATCTACCTCTGTCTTAGTTGTTTCCAATTGCACCAGACCTGGTGAAACCTTGGCCCATGAAGAATTAAGAAATTCTGTCAGGGCAAAATTTTGTGTTATTTTTCATACCTCAAAGCTAAAAACAAACAAACAAACAAAAAAAACTCTGTATTGTATGGTTCATGTAGTGAGTTTGTCTTGATGGTGTCTAGGAGTCGGTGCAGAACTGATGGGGTGGAGAGATTATGTAGATTGGGGAGGGCTCCAGAGTACTTGATCCAGTGCTCGAGGACAACCTCGGTGTGCTGAACAATAAGATGGCTGTGTAGCAGTGATGCTGCATTTTTAAGGTCCGCAGAGGATTTTTAGTGGTGTAGTATAAAGTGTAGTTATTGTCTGTGTAAATGATGCTGTGGGTTTCCTGAGATTTTCTGCAGCACTGCTCATTTGAAAAACTGGTTTCTAATCATAGAAGACAGTGCTTATCAGACATAAAAGTAGAACCACTCCTTTTGACAAGTGCATTTTCACATACCTTAACTATGCATTTATCATCTTCTATGCTAGGACACAGATGCAGAGACAGGCCTTGGCATGCTCTTTCCTCATTTTCAAGCTGTACCAAGTTTTCAAAAGCACTGTTACCATAACAGTGCTTGTGTGTTTAGCTCATGACTCGTGGCTTGAGGCAGCATAGATGAAGTATTCTAAAACTCAGGTTCACTGGTTCTCCACAAAGTACTGTATGTTGATGCAGAAGCGTATTTCAAGCTTAAGTATTACCTGTGAAGCAAAAGCTGTATAGTCTGCATAGTGTCTCATTGGAGGTAGCAGTGTCAGTGCCCTCAGCTTTATCTATGTAGTCTTTAATGGCCATCCTGGATTTTAAAGTTGATCTAATCGATATTTTCATTTTCACAAAGATCAAATAACTAATGTGAAAGGGGCCTCTCGTAGAGAAGAACCTACATAGAATTAATATCTGAGTCAGTTTTTCTCAGTTCTGCTGAGCTTTATGTCTTTGTGGTCATTGTTTTCCTGTGTATAACTTCACAGTTCCATCTCACCATTTTCAGTTGCAGCATGCAGCTCTTTTCAAAAAGGCTCTAAAAACCCTGAATATAGTGGCCCATTTAGCAGATAAAGAGACAGGCATTGCCCTCAGGAGTTGGTGGAGAAGACGGCAAAGCTTAAAGAGTGAATATTGGACTGTTGATTCACCAGGTTCTAGAAACACAACTCCAAATGAGTGCCAATGCTGTTCCTGTCTCAAGACCCTTGTTCTAGTGGTAAGTACTCAAGATGAGGCTGAACTTCTAGCAAAGACCCTCTCAGGAGCTAATACCGCTCCATTGCTCCTGGGGCATTTAATCATTACAAGCTGCTGATCCACAAGGAAGCCACTTTGCTGCTATGATGACTGTCAGGAGACAAACTAATGAGGTCCTGTGATTGTTGATTACAACTGTTTGTGTTGTGCTTTTGAACAGGTTCGTAGTCTCATGTATTCCCAGCTGGTTTTGGGGACCCATGGTTACACTAGAGGACTGTCTCGCTGCTTTCTTTGCAGCAGATGAGCTTAAAGGTAAACAATACTACATATAATGTGCTCTCAAGTTTAAAAATTGTGAGAAGCAGATGGGAGAATTTGATGTCATAATTTACATTTACGTTCCTTCCTTTCCCAGGAGATAACATGTATAGCTGTGAGAGATGTAAAAAGTGAGTATATACAGTAAATCCACATGGAAACATTCATTAGAACTGGAGACATTAGAAAGTGTCATTGACATTTATTCACACTTCAAATGGTTTCAACAGGTTGCGAAATGGTGTCAAATATTGCAAAGTACTTCGACTTCCGGAGGTACAACTTTTTTATCTCATCTCTTTCTTCCTTCCGTGATAAAAAAACCTAGATGTTCACTTGTGGTCAGCCACATAAACTCTTCATGGATGTTTGTCTAGATTCTGTGCATTCACCTGAAACGTTTCCGGCATGAAGTCATGTATTCATTCAAGATTAGCAGCCACGTATCCTTCCCATTGGAGGGCCTGGACATGCAACCATTCCTGGCTAAAGAGAGCCCATCCCAAGTCACCACATATGATCTGCTGTCAGTCATTTGTCACCATGGCACTGCAGGAAGTAAGAGAGTACTTCATTTCAGATATTATGATTAATGTATCTCAGAATATGATCAAACTTAAATACCATGTTCTCTTGTTTTCTCTTTCATAACACTTCTTTCATTATATATTCTGTTATGTCACCACTTTTATGCTGCTGCAGGTGGACACTACATAGCTTACTGTCAGAATGTGATCAATGGCCAGTGGTATGAGTTTGATGACCAGTATGTCACAGAAGTCCATGAGACGGTGGTGCAGAATGCAGAGGCCTATGTGTTGTTTTATAGGTGAGCATGGGAAGATGCTGTGATGTTCATTTGCTCTGAACCTATGATGATTTATGATGCATTTTTCTCTGACTCGTGCAGAAAGAGTAGTGAGGAGTCAGTGAGGGAAAGGCAGAAGGTGGTGGCTCTGGCCAATATGAAAGAGCCCAGCCTGCTGCAGTTTTACATCTCCAGAGAATGGCTGAATAAGTTCAACACCTTCGCTGAACCAGGCCCCATCAGCAATCACACATTTCTTTGTCAGCATGGAGGTGTGTGGTAGAGTTTTTTTTGTTTGTTTTTTTTTACAGGCTTTGTGGATTTTTTTACATGCTCTTTTAAGGGGGAACTCCTTAGATTTTACATACACAAATCTGTATCTAGTTAGTTTTCCAATGATCCGAAAGTGCAATACTAAGTGACTGGAGTACCCTTTTAAGAACAGACACTTTCAGATAACCTCATAGCAAAAAAGATGACTGTCAGTAGGATGCTGATTATGCTGTTGATCAGTATCGGTACTCAACAATTCCTTTTTTAGGCTTTCAAAACAGTTCCCCAAGCTTGTAGCTACCTTCTCTACACAAATGTTTGTTTTCACATTGTGCAAAAGGTTTATATGTGCAGCATGATGCAGGACAGTACCTGTCTCTCTCAACATATCAGCTACCAAGACTAATTATCCTTATTCTTGGATTTGTATGATGGTTGGCTATTTAACATATCTTGACTAGCAAAACATGGCTTTATAGCATATGTGAGATACAGGCCATTATTTTTAAAGAGGCAGAGGGTGGGGATTTTATGTAGGAGGAGAACAACATTTATTTTTGGTGATTCCGCCTTTAACACTTCATATATTTTATCTCTGCAGGGATCCCTCCTAATAAATACCACTATATAGATGATCTGGTTGTTATTGTTCCTCAGAACGTGTGGGAGTATCTTTACAACAGGTAAACATGCAGCATTCTACCATTATACTGAATGACAGAATGCATAAAGGCATTGAGTTAGAAAGTTGTACATGTCAACAATATCTGCCACAGTTTTACATTTGACAAACCATTTTAATGATTTAAATTAAATGATTTAAACAACTTATTTTTGCAACCTTCTCTGCGTGAGCCTTCCTCTGCTCATGAGGTAATGAAGAAGCTTTATCTTTCATTTCTTTTAACTTGGCAAAAAACTAAAAAAAAGCATAAAACTTTACAAACATTTAAAAAAAAACACCCAGTTGTCTATTAGAAAGCAACAACACAAGCAGAATAAATACACAGGGAGTGCGCTGACCTCTTTAAACTTGTATTCTGGTTTATTACAACTTATTTTTGTACTTGTACAAATTTGAGATGATTTTGTTTCCTGATAAGTTAAAGCTACACCAATCAATGTCAAAAACATGGCCTGTTTTACTGTAACTACCCGTTTAGTCACAGACAAATGACTTGTAATGTTGTCACTTGATATATTTGAAATATTGTTTTGAAAAACTCCATATTTAGCTTTACAATGCAAGTGATGGAAAAACTGTGGCCAGCATGAAGTAAAAACCTGTAAACAGGGGCCCAAGTTGAAAGTTGCTTCAGTGATTTACATTTGGATGCATGCATATACCTCAGTTTGGCCCAGTCTGTCTCTGTCTTTTAGTGCCTTTCTGTTTAATGTTTCTGTTCTCAGTTTTGGGGGCGGCCCTGCAGTCAACCACCTGTATATGTGTGCTATCTGCCAGATCGAGATTGAAGCTCTAGCTAAACGCAGAAAAATGGAAATAGATACCTTCATCAAGGTAAAAGCCTGTGTTCTGCAAGAGTTTGCCTCTGCTTTGTGTTGGATGTTGAATGAGCAGTTTTCTTTTGTCTGTAGCTGAACAAAGAGTTTCAGGCTGAGGAGGCTCCAACAGTGATCCTGTGCATCAGCATGCAGTGGTTCAGAGAGTGGGAGAGCTTTGTGAAAGGCAAAGACAATGGTAAGACTCTGCTGCTAGATAGAGGCAGTTGTGCATTAAATTTCTTCATCTCTCAGTTTTTACAAAATATTTTTTATCGTTTGTTTTCTCAGAGCCACCTGGTCCAATCGACAACAGTAAAATTGGTGTTATGAAAGGAGGACATATTCAACTCAAGCAAGGTGAACCTCAGCATCAGCTGAGAAGAAAGTAAAGACAGAAATGAAGACCAGATGGTCATAAATGTGTTTATGTGTTTCTCCCCTCAGGTGCAGACTATGGTCAGATCTCCGAGGAGACTTGGCAGTACTTGTTGGGTATTTATGGTGGAGGCCCTGAGATCGCAGTTAGACAGACAGTGGCCCCGGCTGAGCCTGACAGCCTTCATGGAGAAAGGAAAATCGAGGCAGAGACCAGAGCACTTTGAGATAAAGAGAGGTTAGAATCTTTATTTAATGGGAAACACTGCTCAGTGCTTAGTATATACTGCTTTATCACAGTAATCCCTTGTAAGAACTTGCATTCCCCTGCATACACACAGAATTGCATGCAATCACATATTTGGATATACTTTGGGTAATGTGTAATAGTTTACTGAAAGCCAAGGTCTTG